CAGAAGGGCTTGCTTCAGATTCTATAGGAGATTCTAAAATCATATATGTAGATCCAGAAACACTCAAGCCATGATCTTTGATAAACATATTCTCAAAGAATTCTGCATCTCTGGATTATATTACCGCATTTGTAGATAGATCCAAAAACTAATTTTCAGCACTGTTTTCTGCACTTCCCAGATATACATAAATAATGGTTCTAGGTCCCACCTTAGGTCTCTTAGGATCTTGTATTCTTTCATAAGTAATACATCCCCAAGTCTTAAGAGTACCATATCTACAAGAACGCTTATGTCATATCTCATAAGGAGTCATAGACAACTTAGAGTGCGGCAACCTGTTCAGGATGTGATTGGCAATTAGAACTGCATCTCCCCAATAGGAAGAAGGCATGCCAGTTGTAAGTAATATAGAGTTTAACATTTTAGTTAGTGTCCTATTATTACGCTCGGCAACACCATTTGATTGGGGTGAGTAAGGAGTAGTGGTTTCAAGTATTACGCCCTCTGAAACGCAAAATTCCTTGAACACTGTCATTGTGTACTCTCCTCCTCTATCACTCCTAAACCTCTTAATTTTTAAGTTGAGTTGATTTTCTACTCTTGACTTAAAAATCTTAAACCTTTCAAAAGCTTCATCTTTCGATTTCAACAAATTAATATGACAATATCTAGAAAGATCATCTATGAATGTTATCAAGTACTTCTGACTACCTCTAGTAACATAATTTTTAATGTCACAATGGCCAGAATGTATCAGATCAAGAAGTTGTGTGCTTTTAGAAACCAACTTAAAAGGTTTTTTAGTGATCTTAGTTTGTGCAGATACTTCACATTTGTCAAATCGAATAGAGGCATCTGATGGAATATCAAGAGTTTTAGCTAGATGTTGTATTTTCCTGTAGTTCACATGCCCAAGTCTATTATGTAACAACTTTGGATCAATCAAAGTTGAACTCACATGGTTTATGCTCTCAGTATCTAAACTCAACCTATACATACCATTAACCATGAATGCACAGTCAAAATAACAAGAGTTAACAAATAAAGTTACTCTACCATTCATAGTTGAGAAAGGCATACAAGCTTTATCAAGTAAAGATATCAATTTCCTTTTAAGTAAAAGTACTACTCTAACTTATTTTAGAGTTAGTAGTTTACTTGAAGAAAGAACCAAATTTATAGTTGAGAAATACATACCATCTTTATCAAGCAAAGATATCAATTTCTTTTTAAGTAAAGGTACTACTCTAACTTGTTTTAAGGTTAGTAATTTACTTGAAGAAAACACCAAATTTGTAGTTCTAACATGAGTCACATTTGTCTCATCACCACTGTAATTTCCCACTGTCTTTCACTTCTATGACCTCGGTGAGTAAATTTCTATCATTTGTAGTATGACAACTAGCACCGCTCTCCAACCACCACCCAGAGAGACACTGGCCTTTCCATTCTTCATCATTCTAATGAAAGCTTGAGGCTCAGGTTCATTAGTTAACATATTAGCCTCATTTTGTGGTGTGTTATTCTTTAACTTATTTGGTAGCTTACACTCTGCTGCCCAGTGATCCCACTTTCCACATTTATGGCACTTGTCTTTCTTCTTCTTTTGAAGAGTCTTTTTGGCCTCTAACTATGAAAAGGATTAACCTTTTGGAGACTTGGACTTCTTCTGAGGTTTATTGGAATGTGAAACTAAGTAGGCAACTAACTTTTGTTGTCCTATTTGTTCCAAACTCTTCCCAGAAAATTTTGATCCTAAATATAAATAAACCTCTTTAATTTATCCAGTTTACTCTGTTCTTTCAGTCTTGAAAGAACTCCTTTCAGCAAGTAGTTTACATATGAGACTTATCATCTTTTAGCTTGTTCCTTATGTTCTCAAGTTTAACTAACTGAATTCGTATTAAATTTGAATTAAAAAAAAGAGTAAATACCCTTTTGGGTCCTTAACAAAAAATACGGTCCCCACTTTAGTCCCTTACAAAAAAAAATTAGTCAGTTGATCCCTAACAAATTCAAAGTGGACCCATTTTAGTCCTTTTGAGGGACTAATATGAGCCTTTTTTGAATTTGTGAGGGACCACGATTTCAACTAAATAGGTCCACTTTGAATTTGTTAGGGACCTCGAGACTAATTTTTTTTGTAAGGGACTAAAGTGGGGACCGTGTTTTTTGTTAGGGACAAAAAATGGTATTTACTCTAAAAAAAACTTCTCTACTAAGAGAGTTTTGGAGAACCCCTCTTGTTTTTGGAACTAAGCATTCAAATGATCTCATATCTTTTTCGTCGTCTTATACTCACTACAAGTCATGGCTAGACGAAGATTTAGAGAATTTAGCAAGTAATCCATACAAAATCTCCATCTTTGTTCCATTGATATTCACACACATTTTCAATGGTAGATGCAAAATTATTTAATACATTATGGAATATTTCATGTTCTTCTATGCCAAATTGAACATATAATTTCCAATCATAAAATTTAATAACATCAAATGATTGCATTTTATAATTTCAAAAGAACTACATTTAGCCATTTTAATAAGAGCTAAGAGTTAGAAAGAGTGCACCTTGTAGTTCTCATACTTCACAAATTAAAACAAAGCATTCAAATGATCTCATATCTTTTTCGTCGTCTTATACTCACTACAAGTCATGGCTAGACGAAGATTTAGAGAATTTAGCAAGTAATCCATACAAAATCTCCATCTTTGTTCCATTGATATTCACACACATTTTCAATGGTAGATGCAAAATTATTTAATACATTATGGAATATTTCATGTTCTTCTATGCCAAATTGAACATGTAATTTCCAATCATAGAATTCAATAACATCAAATGATTGCATTTTATAATTTCAAAGGAACTACATTTAGCCATTTTAATAAGAGCTAAGAGTTAGAAAGAGTGCAGCTTGTAGTTCTCATACTTCACAAATTAAAACAAAGGCTCCAACTTTCATCAAACTGCTCTGTAGACTTGAAATTTGCCAAAACAGACCCCAAAAACAGATCTGGAACGCCCAAAAACCTTAAGATAGACTACCCCTGTTGCTAGACACTCACCAGAACATTTTCTGATTCTTGAAATGTTTCCTAACGGAATATTCCCCAACTAACAGAATATTCCTTCGGAATATTCTTTTTCGCAGGAAAATTCTTTTTCTCATAAAAGTGTACTTAAAACTTCAAACAGTCATATATTCTTAGTTCGATCTCCGTTTATGGCCAATGACCACGCAAAATGATCGTCTCGACGAGTAGAACAAAGCCCATTAGGTTTTACTTTCTGAAAATGGCCGAAATATCTGGGATCTGGACCGAAAAGTTGCGGCTTCAGTTTCTTCAAACCTAGATCCTGGTAAATCCTTCCGTCGAATCGCGAAAATGATTTAGAATATGAGTTCCACTCGATGAGATCTTCAAATAGACACCTTACTCGCTCAAATCCGACACACGAAGTTAATGCTTCAAGATTGTTGGAGGTAATGCGTTTGAGAGAGAAGGGTTTAGAGATGCTTGAAGTATTGCACCAAGAGACATCAAGTTTAGAATGCTCAACAGTGTTACCTCGAGCTTAGGAAACCTTAGAAATAATGCAAGCTATTGGACTCCAGCCCATATGGACCCAAATAACTATGCTTTCACCTATTGAGCTTATACGTGAACATACTATTTGATTATATTATTGATATATCCAACAAAGTAAACATTTCCTCGAAAAATTTAAAATGATAGAAATTATATGATGAAAAGATAAAATTTGATACATAATCTCAGTGTTTGTTTTCATTTTCTTCTCATTTTTAAATAACTCTAATATTGTGATAATAAGCAAGAACGAAATGTAAATATATAACTGTTTTATCAGTGAGGAAAAGAAATATATGATGAATTTTAAGGTATCTCATACATACATATATATATATATATATATATATATATATATATATATATATATATTTGATAGGCATCTCATATATATTTACATGGGAAAATATTTATTTTTTTAAATGACACAATTTTATGTCATTCTTAATGAAATTACGTCGTTTTGAATTGTTTTATCATTTTCTCTTTTTTATAAAATTAGAAAGAAAAAAAATGAAGAAGAAAGAAAATAAACACATACCAAAATGACGTAATTTCATTAAAAATGATGTAACTTTGTGTCATTTAAAATGACAAACATTTTTTCTATATTTAAATATCATGAAGTTAACATATAGAAAAGGAATTAAGAATAAATCACCATTTGTTTAGATAATAATACAGTGGATAAATAAGTAAAGATGTAACATACATATAAAAATGTACTTTATGGCGTTTGCCTAGTATTTTAAAAAGTATGCTCTCTGCATTATCGGAGATTTTTTATGCTGAGATAAGGGGGTCGCCATTTAAAATTGTAAAAAAAAAAAAAAAAAACTCCGATTTAATGCAAAAAATGATGGATGATACCCATTTTGGTTGATTAGAAAAAATATGCACGAGTGAGAGTAAAATGTATAACTTTGAAGTTACCAAAATTAAATTGAAAAGGAAAAAAAAATATAATTTGTAAGTTACATATCGTACTTATTTACCATGTTTTATTACAAAATGATGAAATAATTCGATTTTTCTTTCTTCAATTTTTAAAATCACTTTAAAGATATATGTAATGCATGGTAATAGGTGAGCCAAAGTAGTGTTGAAGGGGATAATCATACGAATAACAAAAACATAAATGAAAGTAACAGATTTTTTTGTAACTATATATATAGTCATGTAGTTAAGGCCAAGTCCAGGAAGAAGAGAGGCCCATGAAATATGAGTCCAATAAACTACACTTCCCAAAAAATATTTAAAAATCTAAACTTAATGATTGAAGGCTAGCTACTCGTATTGGACTATGGACAAACTTGGATCGAGCCCAACAAGGCCCAATAAACTTCGTAATTGAAAAGGGTATATTAATACATATGATAATAGAAGCGTAGAGCTTGTACTAGTCTTGTTAACACATTGGGGAATAAACTCAACTAAACGCTACACAAGTTCCGCGCGCACACTCAAGAGAGAGAGAGAGAGAGAGAGAGAGGGGCATGGCGACTCTTGATTCCGACGTGGCGATGATTCCCGCTGGCGATCCTTCGAGCAGTGCCGGTCCTTCTTCCAAGAAGCCCAAGCGCTTCGAGATCAAGAAGTGGAACGCCGTTGCTCTCTGGGCTTGGGGTGCGCCCAATCTTAAACCCTAAATTTTACGATTATTTTTGTTGTTGTTGATGAAATTGACTTTTTGTTTTGTTTTGTTCTGTGATTGCAGATATAGTTGTCGATAACTGTGCTATCTGCAGGAACCACATCATGGATCTATGTAAGCATGTTTTTTCAATTCGTGTTTATCCGATTTGATAAGATTCCCCTAATTTAATTTTTGTTCACTGATTTTAGGTATTGAATGCCAAGCCAACCAGGCTAGCGCCACTAGCGAGGAATGCACTGTGGCTTGGGGTATGTCCAAATGCCTCATGTTTCTCGTTCGGTTATACAGTTCTTCCTACTTTTAACCTTGATCGTTGATTTTATGTGATATACCTTTTAGATTTTTATTTATTTTTTGTTCATCTGCTATCTTAGGGTTGAAACTAGATCAAATTGTAGGAATATAATAAAATATAAAAAATTTATGATAAAGACATTTTTAACTTATTTTTTTTTTAGTATTTATTAGTATTCGTAAATGTGTTCGTTCTTTTCTTTTTTCTTTCTATAGTGGAGATAATCGCACGTAATGACAGATCATGGCCATATTATTAAAAGCTTGGGGTAAGAATGGGTTTCGTTCGAGTGCCCAAAAATAATATTCCAAAGCTTTCGAATGTTCTCCGTTACTTGTGTGGATAAGGCCTATGTTATAAAGTATATAACTTCGATCATAAGGATCAATTTCCAGTCGCATAGCCTCATAATAATTTTGTAAAGCTTCTGCATAATTTCCTTCCGATTGAGCCGACATCCGTTACTGTCGTTATTCGGTTCATAGAATCGCCGTTCCAGAACCGTACATGAGATTTTCACCTCATACGGCTCCTCCTTCCTTTATGTGTATAAATGTGTATAATGATAAAAATACTACATAGAATCAAAAAAGATTGAAGTATTCTCTTTATCAACTGAGTGGGGCTAGTGTTTTTTTTTTACAAGAAATCTCTAGCCAACCTTCCTGTAAAAGATGAAATGTACAGGTTGTTTGTTATTCATAAATTACACCTAAATTGGTGCTTCAATGTGCGAAGTGGTTGTATCATGAATATTCAGCAAATTTACCGTACACCCTTCCGTCGTTTATAAAACAGAATAGCCTTTGGGTATTTGACTGAAAACCATTGTCTGAACGCAGTAATTTATAATCTTAAGGAAAACAGCTTTTGATTCACCCAAATCCCTTCCTGGTGCTGTTTGTGCCATGTTGTGCTGTGTAAAATTTTATATGGCTGGTGGCTGCTAATATTAACTCCTTGACCTTAACTGAGACAAAAGGTCTGAGTCACTCTTAGGCTGGGATGTAAGTTGAACTGGTTTAGTCTTTTGATAATTCTTTTTTTCTCTAACTTTATCAAGAAACCCACTCTTCCTCGTCCTTATATCCGCTGCCTCAAATTCATATGGCTATTTGGGTTGTTAGATTAGGTATTCTTCTTATCCTAATAGGCAACATTTTCTTTCCTTCTCTCTTTAAATTAAATTTACATCAAAATCACGCATGCAAAATATGCCTATTCATTAGTAAAATTAAGCAAAATACAATCAGAACTCTTCACTGAGGAAATATAGAAACTTCATTTCCACGATATACGAGTTCAAGTTATTTATGATTTGAAAAGGAAAAAAACATTTTGTCTATTGTAAGGAACCATTATATCAATAGTGATACAAAGCAATAGCAACATGCTTTTCAGAAAATTCAGCAAAAACCAAACATTGACCGATATGTTGCTTTTCATCCTCCTTAGAACCAATGGAGATACTAACAGTTATTGCTTTACACATCATAGATTTTATTTACATTGTTATATTTAAGCTCTGTGTACTTCCAAGATTATTCTACTCGGTATGAGATAACCAGTTTGAATTGTACCATAATTTAATGACCTCTTGTCTATTTAAATTGCTTGCAACTTTTTCAATCGAATTGCACTTTCTTGACTCAGAACTGCTGAACTGAGGTTTGAACTATGAGAATCAACTATTACGATGGTCTTCAGGCTTTGTTTGGTTTCAAGGAGGGGAAAAGAAAGGAAGGGATACCCATAGAAAATAAAAGAAAGGAAAGGATGAGAGAAGTGTAGGTGTTATTGTTTCCCTTGTTTGGCATCATCTTATGGGTAAAAAGGGATGCTTTCTTTCCTTTATTTGGTTTCATTACAAAAAAACATGTTAATGCATGTTGGTAATGTTGAGATAAATAAAAACATGTGGGTCCACTTCACTTTCTTACCTCCTTTCCAATCCTCCTAATAAAGAGTGGGATGAGAAATTGTGGGACCTATGGATTCTTATAATCTCTCCCTTTCCACCCTCTCCATGATACCAAACAATGATGTCTAGTCAATTATCATTTTCTTTCCTTTCTCTTGTAGAATGGCAAACCAAAATGATAGTCGATTCTATGCTTTCCCATTCACATTTCCATAGGTTATTTTTGTTGTGCAAATGCATTACATCATGATTTTATTTGTTCCCTTAAAATATATCTTTGCTTGTGTAATATTCTGTAGTTTTCTAACTGTTAATATACTTGTTGGTTCCACATAGATTTTGGTATAGCTAAATCCACATAATGGGGTCAAAATCTTGTTTTTGTTTCTCTTCACGAGTAAAAATATTGTGCTACTTCAGTTTAGGATTCATTCTTTTGAACAGTCAGAGCTGCAAAGAAAGTTTGTAGGCCATTCTCTAATTATGAAGACTTCTGTAGTTGTTACTATTCTGCTTAGCGTATGCATGATTACTCAAACCGTTACTTGCTCTGGCTTACATCTTATACAGGGGTTTGTAACCATGCTTTTCACTTCCATTGCATTAGTCGATGGCTTAAGACCCGTCAAGTATGTCCTCTAGGTATGCCGGCGAATTCCTTTAACCTATCCTTTTCTGTTGGGACCCTATGGATTAAGAATTGTACTTCTTAATGACCTTGTATTTCTGTGCTGGTACAGATAACAGTGAATGGGAGTTTCAGAAATACGGCCACTAAAACTTTGACGGGGTTGAGCTTGTTTAGACATTTGGACTGTCTATCCCCCCTTTTGAATATTGACAGCTATGTCTGTGTTATTTTCTTTTGCTTGTCTACTGTGTTTATCTTCAAGAAAGCCGTTTGTCTAATGGAATTCGGTATACACTAACGGTAACATGTACAGTTAATATTGTAATGTTTAGATTTGTGTTTCATTTGCCCCCTTTCGACAGTGTTTGTGGTGTTTTCTCACATAAAAGAAAGAATTATAATTTGCTGAAGTGTATGATCTGGTGTTACCGAGATTGCTTTGAAAATATTTTGATTTATGAACTCGGTTTGTCTGAATTACCAACTATTTTATTTTGTGAGGTTTACAAACTTTATGAATCAGGTATCCTTGGTACACATTTTAGAAAAAGTTTAATGCAACATTTCTTTACAAAAGGAAAAAAAATCATTGGTACTGACCACATTCTAATGCAGTCGTAGTTTCAAAGAGTACAATTAAGCGAGGTGGAAAGTTGGACACACTTGTGTTGCATTTTTATTAGGACTCGAGTCTTGATAAAGCTCTATTTGTTCGAGTTGTAGTTTAGTCACTTGCTCCATACATTAAAGGGTCAAAACTGGAAATGATTTTGTTGGATATTATTTTTTATATTAAGCGGAATCAATAGTGTGGTTTTATTTTTGGGTTTATTATTTGTTATAGTGTAGGAGATAATTTTTATTTTTTACACATACATAAAAGTTTGTTTTCTCTTTTTTCACATGGGTTTTACACATTTTATGTGTTTAAGAGATAAATTTATCTTCTATAATATGAGAAATATTAAACCCTTTATTTTCATGAAGTTTTTATCACCTATCAAGTAGCGTGGCTGCTCAATCTGTGCCCTGACTCAACACCACGCGCGAAAGCTCCAAACGGTAACCTCCATCCATCACCCTACGCCCAACCACCAAAGCCACACCCAGATCAAATCTGCATTCCCGACCCATCAAGCCCTGCGAACCCACCTGCGCCTTGCCACCTTTGCGCCCCTAACCGCGCCATCAACGCACCCCTTTGTAGCCACGCTTTGCCTCTTAGGCCTTGTACCCTTTCTTGCCATGGTTTTTTGGGTCTAGGAGAGGGGCTTTAGTTTTGTTCAATTGGAAAGGGAATTCTTCTTAGTCCGAAGGATTTTTTTTTTTTTTTTTTTTAATTTGAGCTGTGTTTATTGGACTTATTCAGTCCAAAAGCTAAACATCCAAAAATTGATATATTCTGGTTCCGGTTGTTAAATTGGTTTGGGGAAAATGATTTAATTTATAAAATGATTTGCTTCTTAATTCGATTAAGAAAAATGCGAATATTTATGATTCCGTTTGGTTTGTGTTTGATTTGATTTAATGATTTTTTCCACGTCCCAATTTTTCTTTTCATTTCTTTATTAATTTGTATAACTTTTATTCACGATAAGATATTAAATATAGTTATCAAAAGAAATTTTTTAAATATTTATGATTGAATGTGTCACCACCAAATTTTATCAACTTAAAAATACAAGGTTGACTTACGTCACCGCAACATTCCATTACGAGGCACGAAATGTGAAAAATTGCCCCCGTAATCTCCAAGACATGGCTGAGCAATGCGAAAACACTATGTGTAAAGGTTAAATTGTCACGAATAGCTTGGGAAAAATTAATAGTAGAGGTGATAATGTTTAACATGAATAGCTAACACGACACGAAAAATTTGTGTTCAGGTTGTTCTGTTTTTAAATTTGTGTTGTGTTTGAGTTAGTAAAAATTAATCCAAAAAAATTCGTTTCGTATTGTGCAACTCGCAAATTCAAAATTGACCCGTATTAATCTTCTACAACTTATTTTTTGTGTTGTGTCGTAAACAGGTTATTCGTATTTTTTCGTATCATGTCAACCTGCTTAAAAATAATATAATTTGGGGTTGACAAGTTATTTGTGTCATGTAACACCCTGTATGCACCCGGTGTATTAAACATACATATGGCTTATGATGCACGGACACGGACACGGGACACGGGACACGACACGACACACCGACACATTAATTCTAAAAAATGTCATATTTGAACACGTTGGGACACGTTTAGATATTAAATAAAATTTTTAATATATATAATATAATTTATATTTAATACATATAAGAGTCCATAATAAGTCATATAACCAATCAAATATTTATATTTCATAACATAAATATAAATATAAATAATTTTTCGTACTTTGTTAATTTTTCATGTCAAATTTCATAACAGAAAAAAATTAATTTATAAATTATTTCTTTTATATTTAGTTAACAAAATAAAATTAAGATTTTATTTTAAAAAAAAAAAACCGTGTCCGAGCGTTGACCGCATGCCAAAAAAAGTTGACCGCGTGTCGGAAAAATGTGCTGGAACGTGTCGGAGAGTTGACCGCGTGTCCGACACGCAAATTTTTCTTGGATGAGCGTGTTCGTGCTTTGAAGCATATGACAATAGCGCAACAAAGTAAATGCGAAAGCTAACTTTTTCTTTTCAATTATAACATTATCATTATTAACCAAGTTGATTACTTTTTTCTTTTTCAAAATATTGTCTGTATGTAAATTGTAATAAAGAACTACCTGAATAACCTCATGATATAAATGGGTATCTAGTCACGAAACTACAACACCTAGACCGTACAATATCCTGATACATTATACAACTCAAGTCTGAAACATCATAACAAATACTAATGTGGCATGGACAACCCCCATGCTCGTCAAATAGGACATCACAATAAGTCTCAGATACACTAGCCATATAGGAAATAACAAGGCATAATCATATGAACAAATAGTAATAAAGAAGCATGGATCAATCAGCTCAACTCCGTCCTCCTGCCGCTAAAGGTATCTACCCCAGAGGTACTTGTACCTGAAAATGTGCCCCAACACGGGGTGAGATCTCTAAAAAGAAATCTCAGTAAGACAAGGGGTCCTCAAGGATCTCTCCACCCCAAGCTCACTTACATACGCAATATAAGTTCCAAAACATTATGATAATATCATTTCCAAAATTTGTGCAATGCAGCATATATCTATATCATGTGTGTAATAATCCTACTGGCCAGAGAATAAAAATGTAGGGATTACATACGTCTACAATCCACAGTACAAGGAACACCGCTTGTACCTCACCCACGGAGTTTCCATCTTGTATGTTTCCACATACTCAGGATTACCGTCTAGGTGGTACACCACATACATATCATATGGCACTTGCACTCAATAGAACAGCTCAATGGCATATCAAGAATCATCATTTATTTTCATAAAAACACAGCATGCATATAACCATCCCTCCATGAGGTATGGTGGAACCAACAATGGGAAAAACCGAGGACATGAAAGCTTACCTCTTAAGCAATCAATCCCAAGTCAAGAGTTCACAACAACCCACAGTCATCAAACAACACACTCTCGGTCTGTTTATACCAGAAACATCATCAATATTCATATTCTAAAGGTTCATTTCATTACGACAACATTTTCTTTTTCGTTTAGTGCTCTTAGGCTTCTCCCAAAGCCATAAGCTCTTAATCTAAGTGATTCTGGCTTAATTAACTTATTACAGAGGTTCATATTAACCATTCATGGGTCCAGAAACCCAATCAACACTACTGTTTAGACAGAACAGCGCACAACATTGAACTTCCCAGAATATCCAGATATTCCACGGGGACATATCCGGATATCCATATCCGGATATCCATATCCGGATATCTCAAATCCCATATCTGGATATCAATTTCCGGATATCATATTCGGATATCTCAAACCCCATATCTGGATATTAATATCCGGATATCATATCTGGATATTTTGTGACAGAAATGTAGTTTCTGCATTTCGCGAAGATATCCCTCCAAGGTTCCATTTTTTAACACTATTACACGTCCAAGCATGCATTTTTAGACACCTTAAGGTCAGTGTTTATGTTGGCTACCTACTCATCTCGTTTTACATGCCAAGACTTAACTTTTAACATAGAAAACTCATGAACAAGGTTCAAGAACATACCCCAAAGGCTCAAAACAGAACAAAGGGTTCTCTTGGAGCTCTCTATGCAACTCTAATGATCAGACTACACAAGGCCACGAAAATGACTATCAAAGCTCGGTCCTTTCTCTTCAAAGGTAACTTCTTGGATTATCAAATGCCAAGTAAATGGCTTCCTCCACAAAAACCCAAGAACACAACCCCTAAACTCACCCCACACGGTAACAACACTCAGAAAAAGAGCATCTTTTCCACTCACAATGCTAGTTCACACTAAGCTAAGGTGTTTTGGTGAAGAAAGTTGGGAAAAAGATGATCACTTGGGTTCCACAAGGAGAAGAGAGGAACGTGAAAATGAGGAGAGCAAGGCAGCAGCAAAAACTCATGTAGAAGACTGAAGGATCAGCCTAGGGCTTTGTGCCACTAAACATTTATAAGCACATTAAGTTTTAATCGTCGGTATTAGCACTAATAGCTCCGCTAATCATTTTAATCTCAAATTTCAGATTCTGAACCTAGTCATTTTTCTAGAATTTTTCATATTTTTATTATAATTTTCGCAGCACTTTGCCGGTACGTGTTTCTACGTAGCCGGTATCAGTCCTGACGTCAGTTCTCATTATTTTGACTACAAACTTGATATACCAGTCCTAAATATTATTCTAGGAATATTCACATACTTATTATAATTTTTTGGGATACTTCATCGGTACACAATTATACCGTGAAGCAGAATCGGTATCCACACTTTTCGTTAGAAAAGCGACTTTCAACGTTATTAAGCCCTTATATTAATTATTTAAGCCCTCTCATAAATATTCAAGGTCAACTATGAAATTTATCTCTTAACTCATAATTAAATTAATTAAATTCTTAATTTAATGGTGCGAGGTCTTACATGTCATGTCCCACATCGACACACTATGAATTTGCGGGTTATTGGTGTTATTCGCATCAACAAGAAAAATAAGCAGGTCATGTTGAGGTCAAATGTTTTAACTCGATTTCAAATTTCATGTCGTACTTGTGTTGAGTGTATTTATGTTTATGTTAAATTCGTATCATATTGTGTCAATTCGAATTGTCACCTCTAATCAACAGTGAATTGTTACAACGGACCTTCAAGAATGAAAGATTGCAAGCTGACCTTCACCATAATACAAAAG